ATCGAACTGTCTACACTTATCAATAACAAAATATCAAGAAATCTCAGTCACATATAACATTCTTTATATTATATTTCAGGTTGTCAAAGTGGTAAATATGGAGATAGATGTAATCAACGATGTAACAATAGGCATTGTAAAAGATCACAAGAATGTCATCATATAACAGGACAATGTACTGATGGTTGTAAACCAGGTTATAGAGGAGAAGATTGTATATTGAGTAAGTTTTGAATCGAACTGTCTACATTTATCAATGATAAAATATCAAGAAATCTCAGTCCTATATAGAATTCTTTATATTATATTTCAGGTTGTCAAAGTGGTAAATACGGATATAGATGTAGTAAACGATGTAACAAGAGACATTGTAAAAGATCACAAGAATGTCATCATATAACAGGACAATGTACTGATGGTTGTCAACCCGGTTATAGAGGATATGATTGTATATTGAGTAAGTTTTGAATCGAACTGTCTACATTTCCCCATAACTTATAAAGTAACATGGAATCTGTCCCACACAGTCCCGTAGCCAGACTTGATTGTTCGGTGGGGCAAGTAATATATCCAAAGTGTCAAATGTGTAAGGTGTTTAGTAATTAAAAATAGTTAGAATTGGTCGGTTGTTATATAACATTCTGTATATTATATTTCAGAATGCCCGAATGGTACCTATGGAGATAGATGTAGTAAACTATGTAACAAGAGACATTGTAAAGGATCACAAGAATGTCATCATGCAACAGGACAATGTACTGATGGTTGTAAAGCAGGTTATAGAGGAGAAGACTGTACAGTAGGTAAGTAAACTAGGTTATAGAGAAGATGATTGTACAGTAGGTAAGTAAACAAGGTTATAAAGGAGATGATTGTAATGTAGGTAAGTAAACCAGGTTATAAAGAAGATAATTGTACAGTAGGAAAGTAAACCAGGTTATAGAGGAGGTAATTGTACAGTGGGTAAGTAAACCAGGTTATAAACAAGATGATTGTACAGTAGGTAAGTAAACCAGGTTATAAAGAAAATGATTGTACAGTAGGTAAGTGAACCAGGTTATAGAGTAGATGATTGTACTGTAGGTAAGTAAACCAGGTTATAGAGGAGAATATTGTGCAGTTAGTAAGAAAACCAGGTTATAGAGAAAATGATTGTACATTAGGTAAGTAAACCAGGTTATAGAGAAGATGACTGTACAGTAGGTAAGTAAACCAGGTTATAAAGAAGATTATTGTCCAGTAGGTAAGTAAACCGGGTTATATAGTGTATAATTGTACAGTAGGTAAGCAAACCAAGATATAGAGAAATGATTGTACAGTAGGTAAGTAAACCAGGTTTTAGAGAAGATGATTGTACAGTAGGTAAGTAAACCAGGATATAGAGAAGATGATTGTACAGTGGGTAAGT